TCATTACGTTCATTCAACTTTGCTCAAATGCTTTAAAAAGCAAGTCTTGCACGTGCATGTAAAGCATGATTTTATAAGCATATCTTCCTGCAAACCCCTCAAAACTATGAGCCAAGTAAGAGCAGCAAACAATTTTTTTCAGGTATGTCTTATCCAGTATTTCTAGCATGCTGCTTCTGTTTCTTCTTGAGTGCTTCCAACATTCCTGATCATTGTACTCTCATTTCCACTCCCTTTACCTAGAGATAATTTAAAAATCTGGTGTGCACGTATATCATCCATTACGTTTTTTAAATGTAATGTGAATCTTAGGCAAAATAGTTAATGATTAAGAAAATGCTATTATTATCTGCTTTTTTGCTCTTCAGTCCGGATGAACAAGGTGTAAACATTTTATGGTGCTAATGTTTCGATACCCATCTACTGCCAGTTGTAACAAATCAAGAAAGAATTGAAAAGATTTTTTATCAAAGTTTGAAGATTAAACAGTTGCCTTTGACTATACATAAACCATCGTTTAGACTACACGTAAGTAGTTTTTGGTTTGTTACTATTTTTTGTGTTTCCTGATTTCATAATTCCCTTCACTTTCATAAGGATTTGGTCATTATATTATTCATTTTAAGAATTCACCACTGATAAACATACATCAGTGTAGAATAAAAGAAAATAAAATTCACCATGAGGCAAATTTAGCACTGGAAATGTTTTCCTATTTTACTAGGGCTTTTGATAATGTTTCTAAAATTTTTCCATATAGTATGATGTTGGATCTTCACAAAAGCACCAAAGGTAGTATTATTTTCACTATTTTATAGGTAAGGGAACTAAGTAAGACCCAAGGAAGATGGGAGAGATGGTATTAACAAACCTTGAGGCTAGAATTAGACATAGTGTTGCAACTTGCAGAGCTCTGTACAGGTCAATTCTGGGATTAGCTTTTGTAGTGTCAGCGAACAGAACATGTTTATGAAGGTCTACCCTGTAGGAAACTAGTGACATCAACTGTAAAGAGCTTGTTTCCAACTTAACACTATTTTTCATTATTTTTCTTATTTATTCTCACAAACCTAAATCAGGAAAGTTCTTGTTTGTTTCCTCACGAGGTAGAAAAAGACTTTCAAAAAAAGTTCATGAAACTTAAAATATTTTATTAAAAAGACATTTGTACTCGAATGTTTATAGCAGCACAATTGCAAAGAGTGGAACAAACCAAGTTCCTATCAATACATGAGTGGATTAATATAGTATATGGACACCATGGAGTATTACTCAACCATAAAAATGGTAAACTTTAATACTTTTTGTAACAACCTGGATGGAACTGGAGACCATCTTCCTAAGTATTGCAAGAATGGAGAAACAAACACCATGTGTATTCACTATTAATTCGAACTAAATGATCAATACTCAATGTGTACATATGGTAGTAAAATTCAATGGATTTAGCAGGTGGGAGTAGGAAGAGAGATGGATAAATTCACACCTAATGGGTACAATGCATACTATCTGGGTGATGGACACACTTACAACTTGGACTCTCTTTGCTTTTTTCTTACATCTCTCACCTGCACAAAGCCAAAAGCAAAAAAAAAAAAAAAAAAAAACTTTGACTCAAACTATACAAAGTAATTCAAGTAACCAAAATGTTTGTACCTTCATAATATGCTGAAATAAAACAAACAAAAAACCTCCCTTACAGCTAGTTGGAATCAAGTCAAGAGGCATTTCCATTTTTATATGCCAATGTGTAATTGAAGGACATACAACAATGTGCTTCAATGAGGTTTTAAGTGTCAAGGACAGGAATCGTGTTATTTTCTTACCCTCCCTCAAACACTAACATACGTATTGTATGTGATAAGTATTCCAGCTCTGTACGTTGCTTCTCATTGCGTATTTCCAATTTAGTTACTTCTGACACAGGAGAGCACGGAGTGTGGGCTTTGTCTTTGCCCAACAGTCTTGTCTTCTCGCAGTCGCGAGATTGTCCAAAGTTATATTCTTTGTTGTGAGAACCAGGAAACCTTTAAATATGTTTTGATGTAGAATCCCACAAATATTAGTGATAACGTTTCAGTGAAGTGATTGAAATAATGAAGAGTATGGTATCCACCTTCATTGTGTGTCACTGCCGTCTAACTCTACTCCTAAACTAAAGTCTGTTCGATTCCATGCTGATAATGTTGATTAAAGCTTTACCTTCCCAGGTGCAGACAGAGAGAAGATGAGATCATCTTCCACTACCAGGGACATTTACATGATTGATTTTCCTTCACTCCCTTTTCTCTTAAACTATCGCCTTTATCTCGTGTAAATGATGAGATGTCCAGGGCCTAGCAGGATTGTAACCATTTGCCTCACTGTGCGTCTCCCTCCCTCCTCTTTTTTCTGTTAGCCCAGTCCCTTTCAGTACAGGAGCTACCAAATTATCATCAGAAAAACAGAGATGACATCTGTGGCTTGTTTTTCCTGGGTTTGTCCAAACTTTGACTTTATACCCTTCCATCGATTGAGAGCTTTGCCTGTCACTCACTTGATTGTCAAGCACCGAGGGCTGTGATGTCGTTAGCTTCTTGGAGCTGCCCATTGGGGACATTCCTGACCACAGAGACCAGACACCACAGTTGACAGGAATCGGTGGTTGGCTCCTGGCATTATACCAGAGCTCCCAAGAAAGCAGTGAGGGATATTTATACTTATTCTTTCAATTCCTATTTTCTTTCCTGTTCCTAAGCAAAATCAGACAGTAAAATGGTCTCTGATTTTAGTGCAATTATAAATTTAAACAAAATCTAACCAAGTAAAGGGTTATTTATGTATCACTTGGTTATGAAAACTCTCCTGCCAAATGCTAATTTGGATAATTAGCATTTCTATTGACTATCATATTGACCAAAAGATGAAATGGAAATTATATTCTTCTGCCAACTAATTTATGTTTTGCTTATTTCAGCTATTGATGGCAAAAGATGAGAAATCTTCTCAACAGTCGTAAGTTCCAAAACCCATATATCCATTTCATGTACAATAATGAATAGAAGCCACAGAAGAGTTAGAAGTACAATTTACTAAGACTGCTACTAAGCTCATTTATATCTTTAACACTCAGTCTTTAATTTAGCAATAAATTATAAATGTATACCTAACAATTTAAGTTTATCATATAGGACGTGGAAAAAACACGCAGTATTCCAGTAGTATACTATTAATCTGTTAATGCGATTTAATTTCTCTCCAATTCAAGAGAATGTTTTAAGCTGGCAACTAGTTAGGCTTGCTCATATTTTCAGTTTCCATTTACAATGACCATGACTAAAGTAGAAAAATTATCACCAGCCTATAAATTAGAAATGATAATCGTATGCCACACATTGAGCAAGGAAGGTGACCTTGTTTTGTGGACAGTGGTTTCACTCTCAACTCTGAGTGGAAAGGATATCAGTGACGTTTTCCTTGGTTATTCCCAGATATGGCACTATCCCGTTTCTTGATTAGGGAAGAAGCTATATTCTTAGTAAACTTCTCTCTGTTAATGCTATCATGGTTTTCTAAATATGTAAATTTGATTTTCCCTGCTGAAAATGTTCTTTCCTCTTTTCTTGAGTATCTTTCTTCTTCCAGTAAAGCAATTTGTTGCCCTATAAAATATTATTGTTGATCTAGTCTTTTGTATTTCTCTGTTAAGGTATTTCATCTTGTCAGTGAGTGTGTATTAAGTACTTGTTCAAGTCCTATCTCAGGTATTTCCATGTCTGCTTTTATTAAATAAACACCTTAATGTTTAAAAAGACAGAAGAAAAGCAGGGGCCAGTGAAGGGATAAGATCGTGAGGCTCACACCGAGGAAGACATTGGGCTTTGAGGCAGGAACGTGATATACTCAAGTTTGCATTTTAGAGATGTCGTCCTGGTTGCTAGCGTTATGAGGGAGCAACTGAGGAGACAGAAGCTAGGGCAGGACCACGACACACTGGTCGGAGAGGAGGCTACTGCAACAGTCCAGGCACGAGGTTCTAAGGAGCTGATTTGAGACCATAGCAGTAGGATTGGAGCAAGACAAGAGTGGATTTAATATACAGGAGGTAAAGTCTACTGGGCATTGTTGCTAGTTTAGAGGAATTAGGGAAAGGCAGGAATCTTGTGGGGACGAAAACAATTCTCTATCTTCTGGATATAGTACTTGGCTGTTTAGTGGATCTTTTGTCAACTTACATGGACCTGTACCTCCTGACTTCTGGCTCTGTCCAGCCCTTTTTTGCCTATAAGGAAGTGCCTCAACAGTCAGCTGGGTTTCCTTTTGGGAATCAGGATACTGTAGGTAATCAGTTTACTGAACATCTAAAATCCTTTCATGATCAGACTGGCACAGCTGAGTAATGAAATGCTGATGGCATGGCGAAACTTACCCCAGCCCTGCTGCCAGTGGTAAGATCCTGCATGACATAGAGAGATGACTAACAGGCGAGGGAGGGTGTCACAGTCACACAACAGACGTTGTTACAGCTTATGTCAAATGGTCTAGTAATGACATGGTCATTCAAGAAATCAACAGGTTGGCATGAGTATTGCCTAGATGCCAGATTCCAGAATGAGTGCAACAAATGGTGGGCTTGCTTAGAAATAAGGGTGCTACCTTCAAAAATAGCACATGCTTTAATTCATTTGACAATGATTGAAACTAATATCATTAATAACTTATTATTAGAGATACCAGACAAGTTGTAACACAAATAAAGTAATTCCATTTAATTTTCAAATCAACTCTGAGGCAGATATTGTTGTGATCCCATTTTACAGAGGCTACCAAAATTAAGCAATTTTGTTATGACTGTCAGTTCTACAAGTATTAGAACCCAGCTTTAGTCTTATCACTGTGAACAAACCAGTTTGCATGGCTGAGAATAAATCAAAAACCTTGTGTTTGTTCTAAGTCTCTAGATATAAGACAAGGAGTAACATTTTTCTTAAGACTAATACTTTTTTTTTTTTCCTAATCAGATGTTTAGGATATTTCGACGTTCTTCTGAAGGGGGTCGATTTATCAAATCGCATGTTATCAGAATAAGGTATGTAAACTTGGCTTGTAACTTCAAACCAATATGGTTAAGATGAGTTATTTGGTTAACATGATTGCTCAGCTGCCTGAGAGAATCTTTGCAGCAACACAAAGATTTCATAAATCCTGAACAGCCCAGGGTATACTACCTAACCATTTCTCAGGTGCAAGAGGAAGATGTAAAGTGCTCTGTGGTAAAAAAGTCTCAGTTATTAGATAGAAAAAAGAGGAAAAATATAACACAGAAAGAGGAGGGATGGTGCTGCCGATATCTCCCTTGTCCTCTTAAGCTAGGGACTAAGTAAAATTTGTCTTTTTAATTTTCCTCATTTTAAGTCTACCCAACCATTAGACTACAACTTTCTCTGCAGCAAGGTTTTTCTTTAAAGTGAGTGAATTTTTATTATTTTTAAATGGCTTTTCATTTTGATGCTTTGGTGAAAGGAAATAAACATAAATGAAACATGGAGTTTATTATCAAAGACTATCTTGAATACATGTTTATATGATATCTATAAGGCTTAGATTCCATAGTGAAAAATACAATTGTAACATTTGTTTGCATCACTTCTTGGAAGTAAATATAAATATGGTTAAATGATTAAGAAGCCCATGTCTTTTCTTTCCCTCTTGCCCCTCTTTATTTCCTTTTCACTTTTTCTTTTCCTTTTTTTTCTTCCCTCCTTCTTTCCTTTTCTTCCTTCTTTCCTTCCTTTCTTCTCTTTTCTCTTTCAAATTAAATTCATTCTCAGAAGGTTAGTTGAGGCTTTCTAGCCTTATACATCACAACAAATTTATATATTTGCATTGTTTATCAAATGAGTTTTTATAGCTGCTTTCTCGAATCATTCATTCATTCGTTAGCTGACCACCAAACCTCAAAATATCAGTGTTTTATTACAGTAAAGATTTATTTCATTGCCACGATACAAACCAGAGAGAAGTGGGTGCAAACGAGTGGCTGCTGGTGGGGACTGTGGAATGGAATTGCCCACGGGACCTTCTGCATTCGGTTGGCAGACAATGAGCAAAAGCGAAGACGAGGCTATGAGAGGTCTTATTAGGAACCAGGCCTGGAAATGGGGGGCATAATTTCTGTCTGCATCCAGTTGGCTAGAATTCATTGGCGAGTTTCCATAAACTTCAAGGGGGGCTAGGAAATGAAATCGAGCTCTGTGCTCAGGAGGCAAAGGAAACTGGGTTGGTAAACAAAAGCACTGTCCGTCGTACCACTACTGAAGAATCATTACGTTCATTTCAACTTTTGCTCAAAATGCTTTAAAAAGCAAGTCTTGCACGTGCATGTAAAGCATGATTTTTATAAGCATATCTTCCTGCAAACCCCTCAAAACTATGAGCCAAGTAAGAGCAGCAAACAATTTTTTTCAGGTATGTCTTATCCAGTATTTCTAGCATGTTGCTTCTGTTTCTTGAGTGCTTCCAACATTCCTGATCATTGTACTCTCATTTCCACTCCCTTTACCTAGAGATAATTTAAAAATCTGGTGTGCACGTATATCATCCATTACGTTTCTTTAAATGTAATGTGAATCTTAGGCAAAAATAGTTAATGATTAAAGAAATGCTATTATTTATCTGCTTTTTTGCTCTTCAGTCCAGATGAACAAGGTGTAAACATTTTTATGGTGCTAATGTTTCGATACCCATCTACTGCCAGTGTGGAACAAATCAAGAAAAGAATTGAAAAGATTTTTTATCAAAGTTTGAAGATTAAACAGTTGCCTTTGACTATACATAAACCATCATTTAGACTCACACGTAAGTAGTTTTTGGTTTGTTACTATTTTTGTGGTTTCCTGATTTCATAATTCCCTTCACTATTCATAAGGATTTGGTCATTATATTATTCCATTTTAAGAATTCACCACTGATAAACATACATCAGTGTAGAATAAAAAGAAAATAAAAATTCACCATGAGGCAAAATTTAGCACTGGAAAATGTTTTTCCTATTTTACTAGGGCTTTTGATAATGTTTCTAAAATTTTTCCCATATAGTATGATGTTGGATCTTCACAAAAGCACCAAAGGGTAGGTATTATTTTCACTATTTTATAGGTAAGGGAACTAAGACCCAAGGAAGATGGGAGAGAGATGGTATTAACAAACCTTGAGGCTAGAATTAGACATAGTGTTGCAACTTGCAGAGCTCTGTACAGGTCATTCTGGGGATTAGCTTTTGTAGTGTCAGCGAAACAGACATGTTTATGAAGGTCTACCCCTGTAGGAAGAACTAGTGACATCAACTGTAAAGAGCTTGTTTCCAACTTAACACTATTTTTCATTTATTTTCTTATTTATTCCTCACAAACCTAAATCAGGAAAGTTCTTGTTTTGTTTCCCTCATGAGGTAGAAAAAGACTTTCAAAAAAAGTTCATGAAACTTAAAATATTTTATTAAAAAGACATTTGTACTCGAATGTTTATAGCAGCACAATTGCAAAGATGTGGAAACAACCCAAGTTCCTATCAATACATGAGTGGATTAATAAAATATAGTATATGTACACCATGGAATATTATTCAGCCATAAAAAATGGTAAACTATTAATACTTTTTGTAACAACCTGGATGGAACTGGAGACCATCTTCCTAAGTATTGCAAGAATGGAGAAACAAACACCATGTGTATTCACTATTAATTCGGAACTAAATGATCAATACTCAACATATGGTAGTAAAATTCAATGGGAATTTAGCAGGTGGGAGGTAGGAAGAGAGGATGGATAAATTCACACCTAACGGGTACAATGCATACTATCTGGGTGATGGACACACTTACAACTTGGACTCTCTTTGCTTTTTTCTTACATCTCTCACCTGCACAAAGCCAAAAGCAAAAAAAAAAAACCAAAAAAAAACAAACTTTGACTCAAACTATACAAAAGTAATTCAAGTAACCAAAATGTTTGTACCTTCATAATATGCTGAAATAAAACAAAACAAAAAAACCCTCCCTTACAGCTAGTTGGAATCCAAGTCAAGAGGCATTTCCATTTTTATATGCCAATGTGTAATTGAAGGACGTACAACGATGTGCTTCAATGAGATTTTAAGTGTCAAGGACAGGAATCGTGTTATTTTCTTACCCCTCCCTCAAACACTAACATACGTGTCATATGTGATAAGTATTCCAGCTCTGTATGTTGCTTCTCATTGCGTATTTCCAAATTTAGTTACTTCTGACACAGGAGAGCACGGAGTGTGGGGCTTTGTCCTTTGCACCCAACAGTCTTGTCTTCTCGCAGTCGCGAGATTGTCCAAAGTTAATTTCTTTGTTGTGAGAAACCAGGAAAACCCTTTAAATACGTTTTGATGTAGAATCCCCACAAATATTAGTGATAACGTTTCGGTGAAGTGATTAGAAATAATGAAGAGTATGGTATCCACCTTCATTGTTGCTCACTGCCGTCTAACTCTACCTCCTAAAACTAAAGTCTGTTCGATTCCATGCTGATAATGTTGATTAAAGCTTTACCTTCCCAGGTGCAGAACAGAGACAAGATGAGATCATTCTTCCACCTACCCAGGGACATTTACATGATTGATTCTTCCTTCACTCCCTTTTTCTCTTTAAACATTCGCCTTATCTCGTGTAAAATGTAGATGTCCAGGGCCTAGCAGGATTGTAACCATTTGCCTCACTGTGCGTCTCCCTCCTCCCCTTTTTTTCTGTTATGCCCAGTCCCTTTCAATACAGGAGCTACCAAATTCTCATCCAGAAAAAACAGAGATGACATCTGTGGCTTGTGTTTTCCTGGGTTTGTCCCCAAACTTTGACTTTATACCCTTCCATCGATTGAGAGCTTTGCCTGTCACTCACTTTGATTGTCAGCACCGAGGGGCTGTGATGTCGTTAGCTTCTTGGAGCTGCCCATTGGGGACATGCCTGACCCACAGAGACCAGTAACCACCAGTTGGACAGGAATCGGTGGTTGCTCCCTGGCATTATACCAGAGCTCCCCAAGAAAGCAGTGAGGGATATTTATACTTATTCTTTCCTAATTTCCTATTTTCTTTTCCTGTTTCCTAAGCAAAATCAGACAATAAAATGGTCTCTGATTTTAAGTGCAATTATAAAATTTAAAACAAAAATCTAACCCAAGTAAAGGGTTATTTATGTATCACTTGGTTATGAAAACTCTCCTGCCCTCTTGAAATACGTGTGCTTTGGATAATTAGCATTTCTATTGACTATCATTTGACCAAAAAAGATGAAAATGGAAATTATATTCTTCTGCCAACTAATTTATGTTTTGCTTATTTCAGCTATTGATGGCAAAAAGATGAGAAATCTTCTCAACAGTCGTAAGTTCCAAAACCCACTATTTACTCCATTTCATGTACAAATAATGAATAGAAGCCACAGAAGCGTTAGAAGTACAATTTACTGAGCTGCTACTAAGCTCATTTTATATCTTTCTAAATCACTCAGTCCTTTATTATTTTTAGCATTTAAAATATTTAAATTTATAAATGTATACCATATACAATTTTAAGTTGTATGACATATAGGACGTGGAAAAAAACACACAGTATTCCAGATAGTATGCTATTAATTCTGTTTAATGCTTTAATGTTCTCTCACAATTCAAGAGAATGTTTTAAGCTGGAAACTAGTTAGGCTTGCTCAATATTTTTAGTTTTCTTGCATTTTTATTGAAATATTTGTACATTTTCTGTCTCGTTCCACCCTGCACTCCACATTCCAGCTTTGGTATATATTTCTGGGATGTTTCAGACAAATATATACCCATTAAAAATATTTTAAGGGCATTTTCAAGTCTCTCTTAAGGTTAATTGGAACTCTGATCAATTGCAGGTTATCAGAGAGTAATAACTTTTTAAAACTAGTCTTTCAAATTTTAGAAGAATAAAAAGGTCAATATTGCTTAAAACTGTTAAAATACAGGGCTTTGAGAAAACAATGAGTTGATTCTCTTCAGTTATGTCAAAGGCAATTCATGACCTACTTTCAGTATTGGGTGCTCTCAGTAATAAGAATTCCACTGGCTTTGGTGTGGATCCTCCTAATTTTATATCTCACTCTGTCACTTAGCAGCAGCGTGACCTCCAACAGTGTTTTCTCTCCAAGGCCTCATCTAAAAAGGATGTTGCTATAAATACAGCTAAAACACTTATCAGAGGATCTATACATTTTTGATGCTCAATAAATTATCTGTATATGCTTTATAGAAAGTCAGACGTTAATCTGTGGACAGAATGCCTCGAAATGTTGAATATTTCGTGTGAACCTCGATAGGATCAGTGAGGCCGATATAGAATAACCTCAGAGGCCGAATGCTACGCGTGGGTTAAAAAGTTGCAGGGACAAAGGATCGTCTAAGCATCTACACCCAGTGCAAATCGGGATTTGCTTTTTTTCCTTTTCAGTGAAAACAAATTAACATGCATTTCTGTGACAGGCTGTGGGATAAGGATGACATCTTCGAACATGCCACTACCTGCATACTCCTCCACTGAAAGGATTGTCCAAGGCAGGGAGACCGCTGTGGAAGGGGAGTGGCCGTGGCAGGCCAGCCTGCAGCTCGTGGGGGCCGGCCATCAGTGTGGCGCCAGCCTCATCAGCAACACGTGGCTGCTCACCGCGGCCCACTGCTTCCGGAAGTAAGTGCACCAGGGCTGTCGTGGGCCGCCTTTTCTCAGTCCTCACTTGCCACTGATGCGGTGCAGAGGATGAGTCCAGTTTTCGCCAGTTGTCCTCTGCTCCGTTCCGGGTGGACCCTTCTACTATGTCCTCTAGATGCGTCCTGCTCGCTGTGTCCCCATCTGGGATGCTGTGCCATGGTCCTTTTCATCTGTTCCTCTGTGTACCATCATGACCCTAATGCTGTCTTTCCCAGTATATCATAGTCATTTTAGCGTAAAGACTCAATATTATACATGTAATAAGTTTAATCTCTTCTACATACTCAAGAAGAAAAATAGCTACTTCTATTCTGTTCTCTTTTCTCCAATTAATCCCTTTAAACTCCCACTGTCAGCATCAGCATCACTTTAAAAATAAGAAAAGGATCATAGGTATTCCCTCTTGAAGCTCTCCCTTCTCTAAGAACCCCAGCAGGCACGGATGGTCCAGAGAAGTGTGAGGAAGATGGAAGAGACCTGCTACCTTGTCTCACCGCCCTCGCAGTATTGGAGACTGGTCACGTCACCCCAGCAGGAGTTCTCTGCTTGGGCTTTAGGTTGAAGCTCTTTTGTTGTTGTTTTTTAGAGACAGAGTCTCGCTTTGTTGCCCAGGCTAGAGTGCCTTGGCGTCAGCCTAGCTCACAGCAACCTCAATCTCCTGGGCTCAAGTGATCCTGCTTCAGCCTCCCAAGTAGCTGGGACTACAGGCATGCGCTACCACACTGGCTACTTTTTTGTATATGTATTTTTAGTTGGTCAATTAATTTTCTATTTTTAGTAGAGACGGGGTCTTGCTCTTGTGCAGGTTGGTTTCAAACTCCTGACCTCGAGGGATCCTTCTGTCTCAGCCTCCCAGAGTGCTAGAATTACAGGTGTGAGCGCTCTTAAAACTTAGCTGTGTCAGTTCACAGAGATATACACAAGTATTCTAATGCCCCAGGAGAACAGGGACATACCATCTTTCTTCCCTGAGTTTCTGCCATCAGAGTATAGAAAGCTTTTCATTTTATTTATTTTATTTTTATTTTATTTTTTTTGAGACAGAGTCTCGCTTTGTTGCCCAGGCTATTGTGAGTGCCATGGTGTCAGCCTCACTCACAGCAACCTCAAACTCCTGGGCTCAAGCAATCCTCCTGCCTCAGCCTCCCGAGTAGCTGGGACTACAGGCATGCGCCACCATGTCCGGCTAATTTTTGCTATATATATTAGTTGGCCAATTAATTTCTATTTATAGTAGAGACGGGGTCTCGCTCTTGCTCAGGCTGGTTTCAAACTCCTGACCTTGAGCAATCTGCCCGCCTCGGCCTCCTAGAGTGCTAGGATTACAGGCGTGAGCCACTGCGCCCGGACAGCTTTTCCTTTTAAACTCTCAAAAGACAGAAACTTTGAATAAAGTCCCTTTGCCTGGCCAGGGGCAGTACTAATGCACCCTTCTAAAGGAACCTGTCCTTGGTGATTCTAGAAGGTTTGTTATCCTTCCAAGGGTAACACCCCAAATGGTTCCAAGATACTTATTCTTTATGGGGTAAAGGTATAATGAGAATGACCCAATGGATCTAAGATGATTGTTACTTCCGTACTAGAGAAGAGAAAGGACTTGCTTATATATAACTCCCAGAGTAACTAGTAGCATGCCTTAGAGGTAAACTTGGGTCATGATAGCTTGTTAAGGCTTTCTGATTTTTTCACATTCACAGTCTTCCAATCTTTGTACTTCTGTTTTTGTGAGAGAGTCGTCCACTTTAGTTTACAACTGATCTATTTGTGTAAATTAAAAATAAATAAACCCAGGATGCCAACTTAATATTGAGTGAAGAATATAAGCTATGGTGATTGAAATACTTGTTTCAGCAGGTCCAGGGCAGTCTATGTCTATTAACAGATCCACATGGGAATTGGTCATTGAGTTTGATAAAGTAGAGATTACTGGTGACTTTGATAAGAGAAATTCCAGGTATTATAGGAATGGAAATGGAATCAAGAAAAAAATGGAAGTTTAGAAGCAGTAAGTCTAAAAACCACTTTGAAGGAGTTTTTAAATGAAAGAGAGCAGAGATATTTGACAGTTAAGGGCTCAATTTCAGTTGTACAGGCAAAAGGATTTTTAAAAATACAGGAGACATATTATAGCATATTTTATACTGATAATCCAAAAGACTTGAGTAAGGTAATGACCATGGAGAAAAAGGGTTCAACTTGGAGAGTGATTTCATGTAATTATATAATGTGTTATCCTTTTGTGAAGGAAAAATATCAGGTACTTTGAGGACAATATTGCAGTTATCTAAATTTTTACATTTTCATAAATTTTTTTTTTTTGCTGCAGAAATACTGCATTTAAAAAAAATCACGTTTAAGACAAATCTTAGCATCTTTATGTCCATGAAAAATGATCTCGGTCTTTGTGCAACAGTGTGGGTTACAAAAAAGTTCTTGACAAGATGTCAAGCAACCTGTTGACATTAACCAACTGTATATTAGTATATTGCTGTTCTGGTCAAGTCACTAAACTTCTGAACCTCAGGGTCCTTATCCACAAAACATGTTGAATTCAGCCTCTCTCATTGACAATGCATAAAGAAATGGGATAATTTTATTTTTTTCTACTCAATTATTTTGTGAACTCCTTAAGGCCTGGAGTCGTATGTGTCTCCCAGAATTCTAGTATCTAGAGTCTAGTTTTCAAATGAATGCTTCAATCCTGAGATTTCTGCTTTGATTGAAATCTTCCCTTAACGTGTAAATAAGTAAATCAGATGAGCGCAGAGCCCCATCTCTTCTCGCTGAGCTCTGCCTGCTCACTCCCCGGGTAGTGCAGAGCACTGTGAAAACCACTGATCTTTCAGGTTTTTTACTACACACGTAAAAGTTGGTGATTCACCGGCAATGTAATCCCACATGAAAGAGGAAATACCCTTTTTGACTTGCCCTCTGTGTGATTTCCTTCCACATTTTTTTTTTACTTAAACAATTTCAAGTTTCTGTATTTTTCCAATCATTCTGGATAGGGATAATTTTAAAAAGAAGTAATTGGACTTTGAGGAGGTAAGTGAGAATAGCATCTATGGGCAGGGAGACCTGCACGTCTACTAAGTGGGACCAACCAGGCCAGATCAAAGGGTGGTAGGACATGCATTCGAGTTAGGGCTGCTTAGCCCTTGGACGTCAGGGAGGGGTATGGGAATAGGGTGGAGAAACAACCCTGTGTCTACATGAGGTTTCCAAAACAGACAAATATACTTTACCTCAAAGATTATAGTAAAACTCAGTAAACAAGAGCCAACAAATGAGTCATGAAGTAAGCATGGATTTGATACTAAGGGAAAATGCCTCTTAGTGCACATATTACCTGAAACAAATCAAAATTAATTTCTACACAGTTAATTTAAATTAGAGAAGAAAGAACCTAAAGAATTGCTAACAAGAAAGGAGTTTAAAAATTAGAAATTAAACATGCTAATTATACACAATTGCCTTAATTATAGGAACTCTTTTTGCCATAAAGTCACAACTGCAAATTCTCTCACCAAAGGAATTTTTCAGGAGAATACCAATAGGTGGGAAGAAATACCATCTCAGTCTTTTTTAAGAATAAAGTTTAAGCATCACAAATCTCACCCTTTAATGTTTTACAGAAATAAAGACCCAAGTAAGTGGATCGCTACTTTTGGTACAACCATTACACCACCTGCAGTGAAACGAAGCGTGGGGAAAATTATCATTCATGAAAATTATCACAAAGAGACAAATGAAAATGACATTGCTTTGGCTCAGCTGACTACCCGAGTCGAGTTTTCAAATATAGTCCAGAGAGTCTGCCTCGCCGATTCCTCTATAAAGTTGCCACCGAAGACAAGCGTATTTGTCACGGGATTTGGGTCCATTGTAGACGATGGTGAGTAGTGTCAAGTGAGTTATCTTAGCACAAAAATGGCGTGAGATGGAACAAGCTGTTTCAAGGAATCCTGCATAAGCTTTTCATAAAAGCAATGTTTCCAAGGTGGGTGGAAGAAATCAGGTCTTGTCTCCGAGTTCACAATTGGAGCAGTAGTAAAAAAGAGGGAGAGACAGACATGGAGGAAAAGAACAGACTGGGTCAGGTGATATAAGAAGGAACAAAATACTATGGGAGTAACTAGTTACAAATTGTATGCTTCCTGGATGTGATTACTTCTGGTCAGCATATACTGTAAATCATAATGATAGCCTTTTTTTATTATTATTATTTCAACCATGCCTCATTTTATGAGACTTTTCATCGTGGTTAATAGAATCTGTATTTTTCTTCCTTCATCCCACTTCCTTCAGTGAATTTTTAAACTGAAGACTAGAACTTAAGATTTCTAGGGACTGGCTGTCTCTGCTCTAAAGAGAGAGATTAACTGAATGTTTTAAAATGAGAAAAGATATTTTATAAAAAAAGTCACCTGCACTTGAATGTTTATAGCAGCACAATTCATAATTGCAAAGATGCAGAACAACCCAAGTGCCCATAAATACATGAGTGGATCAATAAAATGTGGTTTATGTATATTATATATTATATATATGTTATATATATACATATATATATATACACACCATATAGTACTCAAAAAAAAGTGGTGAACTAATACCTCTTGTATTAACCTGAATGGAAAAACAAACACCGCATGCACTCACCATTAAATTGGAACTAATACTCATCAGCAATCGAGGAGGGGATGGGTAAATTCACACCTAACAGGTACTGTGCACACTATCTGAATGATGGGCACACTTATAACTTTGACTCAAATGGTACAAAAGCAATTTATGTAACAAAAACATTTCTGCCCCGATAATATTCTGAAATTAAAAAGAAAGAAATACTTAAGGTTCTATCAAGGATATCTGAAGAAACTAGACATGCCAATATACATCTTAATCTACCTTTTTTTTTTGACAGTCTTCCATAATGTGAAAAATGTGCCAAATGCTGCATGCATATCCAACTTGATTTGTGAGACGTTCTTAAAAGTCTCTCTTCATCTTCTTTTCACTACTGCTAGCTCTTGGCTACTCACCACCAGTTTCAACCAGGAACCCTGAACTCCTTCCCTTCCTGTGCTCAACTGAGCAGTGTCCCCTCCTCCTGCCCCCAGCCCTGTTCTGTGCTGGCATCAGATCTCTGGCATGTACTGGGCATCCATTCTCCCTCCCATGCTGTGAGACAGCCCTAAGGAACACGCTGCAGCGTAGAGTAGGGCAAATGGATCCATGCAGTTGTGTCCTGGGTTCTGTTTGAATACTCCTGGGATATCAATGAACTTCCATGGGCCACGGAAAACGTAGCAGTTGGACGAGCTCCCTGTGATGAATCCCTTTGGGAATCAAATGAAAACTATGGACCTTCTCCTCATAAAAAATAAATGCTTGTATATACATATATGTTTCATATATAGTTTTAGGGCTTTCGATAGCCCTGAAAGATCCACAGATATGATATAATACTGGGGCATGTATATTTCTGGTTCCTTGTGACAAGATAAGATTAGGTGATAACTAATGTTAATTAAATAATCTTGGGCTTTTGCTCCTAGGAATGTACAATTTGTGTGTCTTCCATGTCTTAGATACGGTTGTATTTGAAGAACATATTTATTTTTTGTTCCTTTGTGTAACAGGACCTACACAAAATAAACTCCGGCAAGCCAGGGTAGAAACCATAGGCACTGACGTATGTAACAGAAAGGACGTGTATGATGGCATGATAACTCCAGGAATGTTATGTGCTGGATTCATGGACGGAAAAGTAGATGCATGTAAGGTAAGTCAAGGTCAAAACTTTTAAGAGAAGTTTCCATTTGCTATTTCTAAGTTTAATAACAACGAAAGTTAATTACCTTTCTACATTTTATTTAATGTATTGAGATAGAAGCGGTATTAGACCTATATTACATGTTAGGAGATTAAAATCTGTTCCTTCCTATTTCTGGTTCACCCAATTACTTTTATGCTCTATTGTTATTTTCTTAAAAGAGAGAAACATCACTCACCTTCATCACCATCTTTTATACATGTTGCTTTTCACCCCACCACCTCCTAGTCACTCCCGTTCAACCATCTCCTTCTTCAATGACATTGACACCTGAAATAAGTTTTTTTCTCCATCCCAAGCCCTGCAGTGTCCACACTGACCAATTTAAAAGGGTGGACTCCAGGTTCCTAGACCTCCTCACCTCCAGTGACCTTCTGCCTTCTCAGCCACCGCAGGCCCCAACTTGGGCCATGGCATCAAACCCTGCTTCGTCGCCAAAAACCATAATTATGTCCCATTGATTATCTAATTCCAGGGATTTTACCTTCTTAAATTTCTCGCTTTAGCCTTTTCTCCATTGCCTTCTTCCACCTCTCTCTTATCCTCCATTGCTCCCTCCCTCTACTGGACAACTGTACTATTAATGGAAATCTTATTTCCTCATCTTTATTCTTCTTTACTGTGTTAGTCAAATGAAAGCCGAATGATTTCTACCAAGATTATAATCTAATCATGTCAAGTTCCTATTGAAAACACCCTAGTGGCTTACATTTTTGGTCTTAAGATAAAAAACAAAATCATCCGCACAAAGACCCACAAGAGCTCCACATGGACTAGTGCCAGGCATCCTCAAACTATGGCCACGTGTAGCCCGCCGAGGACATTTATCTGGTCCGCTGGGTGTTTTTGCTGCCGCTGCCTGTCCTGCTTAGCAGCCGACTCGTCCCGGGCCCACAGTGCGCATGTGTGGAATGTGCGCCGCACTCTCCAACGGTCTGAGGGACAGTGAACTGGCCCCGTTTAAAAAGTTTGAGGACCCGTGGACTAGTTTCTCCTTAGCTCATCACATACCACTTGTCTCCCTTGCTGTCTTCTCTCCAGTCCTCCCCTTTTTTTTAACCCCTTGCATATGCCCTACTCCTTCCTGCCCCAGAACATTTGTAATCCTCCTCCCTCTGCCTAGAACAGGTTTCATCTGCACTGTCCTTGCCGTGGTTAACTCCTCTTCCTTCAGACACCAGCCTGTGAAATTTCACTATTGTGTGTTCATAGAGCACTTATCACAGTGGTAATTTTGCATTTATGGGTTTATTTAATAACTTTTTTAAACCTAAACTTCAAGTTCTCTGAGCATAAGGACCTTTCATTTGGTCATCATTGTATTCCCAGTACAGATTCAAATGCCTGGGACACATAATGGGAACTCAATAAATAGTTGGTAAATAAATAAATGAATAAAGTGGAAGAGGCATAAAAAAGTTGTCTTACCTGACATTACACAGCCAGTAATGAATAGAGCTGGATCTGAAGCTCAGTCAGTTCAACTGTTAAAAGCGCACTTGTGATCTCCGATTGTATATCTATTTTATCTTCCTTGTTCTAAAGATATTTAAAAGACCTCATATAAAATTCAGCAAGAAAACATAAATTACAAAGCGAGTAAAAGAAAAGCAGACCAGGAGACCAGGAATAGGTTCATAAAATACAATAAGGCTAGCAATATTCAGAAGACATCATTGAAATTTTCCACATAACACCCACAAATACTAATCTCATATTTAACATTTTCTATGCATTATTATTAAACCATGCATAAAGAAGTGTCTAATCAAAATAGCAAAAAAAAAAAAAAATGAAATCCAGGGATGCTAAACCATAAATAAAGTAACCATTCCATGTGAATGGGTTTTCTTTTTTTAAGAAAGGCTAACATTCAATGTACTTTAAAATTTAGCACCAACTTCTAAATTGAGGACAATGATATAATCTATTTATAGTCTGGCCGTGTGGTCTATGTGCCAATTTCCTTTTTTTTTCCTGTGAAAGAGATGATTACAATGACCTTTCTACTGAATTAGAGTTAACAATTTCAAATATGCATTTGTTTTTATTCCAGGGTGATTCTGGTGGACCTCTGGTTTATGATAACCATGACATCTGGTACATTGTAGGTATAGTAAGTTGGGGACAGTCATGTGCTCTTCCCAAAAAACCTGGAGTCTACACACGGGTGACTAAATATCGAGACTGGATTGCCTCAAAGACCGGTGTCTAGCGTGCATTGTCTGAGTTACATCCATGGCACATGGGGCTGAAACTCTTGCATATTGTATAATATTTATATTCATGTGGTTTGGAGAAGTGCTTTTGCTAGACGTCAAAAAACCCTTCAGACCCAGCCAAATCTAGTATTGTGAGGTGGCCTTTGTGTACATACGGCCAACTCTCTCTCTTCCTTGAGAGAAAACGACACAGAAAATCACAGCACCAATTCCTCACTCACCATGGAAACTGCTTGTGATACTTTTGAATAAGGTGAATACTTATTAGGGCTTTCCCTCAATGGAAGACAGGAACATCGTTTCCCACAGGATATGAAGAGCTACCCTCAATACTACCTGGAGCACTTGGGCTGCTTCTAGTGAAAAATCCAAGAACAATCTTCCCTGAGCAGTCAGGGCTTCAACATGCAAGAACTGCTGAATGGACATCCAATGGCCAGAATGGAGAGGCATGGCATTTGCAATATAACTTGAACTCTAACCTGGGTTTATAGCTAGTAATACAGAGCATTATCATCAACTACAAGATAAGACATTTGAAAACTGTTTCAATGGCTGTAAGCTTGCTGTTAACACTGTGTTACACACTCAAGCACTAGCTTCAGGAAGCAGGTTGTGTTAAGAAGCATTTCTGAACTTGAGCAACATTTTGCCATCTGGGCATAAATTACAGTCAGGCTAGCGAGGAGAAAAATAAGACTTGTGGAAGCAAGAAGAAGGGATATGAAGGCTTGCAGAGCTGGTTTCCAAAGCTGAGCACTAGGACAGATGCTCTAATTTTTGGTGCAATGAGCTGTCCAGTTATTTAGAAATATTTGCATCAGTATATGGTAACTATTATAGTTACCATATAGTACTTTCAAAAGTCTGAGAGGTCAGATGTCTATCAGAATGTCAGGTTGGGAGAGCCGATTTGTATAAAACACAGTGCCCAGCATACTCTAGGCACTCAATAAATGTTTGTTATATGGAATTCAATTTTGTCAAATAAGTGAATGACTTTGGGGCTTACAGATAGCCCAAAGCCTAGTGATAAGGAGCACAGGCTTTGAACCAGATTGCTCAAACATTGTCTCTTGTCACATATGAGTCTTTCTGCATGTCTACAATGAGAATAAAAATGATACTACCTCACCTGGTTGTTTTGAGGATTAAATACATTAATACAAGTAAAGCAGTTGCACAGCATCTGCATACAGTAGGGTGCCAATATGGGTTAGCTACTATTAATATTAATCACCATTAATGTGCTTTGGACTCAATAAAACTTACTGTACTTTTAAAACAGTGTCCCTCGCTGCTTTAAAGCCATGTCATTTTTGGTTTTAAAATATGTTGAACTACTTACTAGACTTTCAAAATCACTTTTATGTCTCATTAAATACATTTTGAACTCTGCTTACAGACAGAATGCTATGATCACCTGTCACCATGCTTGTGACTACAGATATGCCTCCGTATTCATCTCCAAATCCCAAATGTGAGACCTAGATTTGTCGCCCTGATTTATCCTAGACAAATCTGGCCCATCCATTTCTTTGGTGATGGAAAGTTTTGTTAATTTACATGTTATGTGTGTTTATATGTAATATATGTAAATAAGATAAATGCAACTAACAATCTTATTATTTATATCTCACTAAGACATCATGAACACAAAAGGGTCATCCATGTACACTTTCCTTTTAAAGTGGAAATGTCATCAAATTTCCAAGTTGATGATTAATAACTAAAAACCACCAGAAAAAAAATTCCTTAAACTCCTACAATCTGCATCTAGCACAGAAACAGCTAAAGCATTCTGAGGATATTTAGCCTATTAAAGATGGCCTTGAGTGATGATGATGCACTTTTTAAATATTAAACATCTCCTTCCGTAGATACAGGAGAGCAAATCTGTTTACAAAGAAAAAATCTTTCCTCGATGTAAGTTCTGTAACAATGGGTATGTGCTTGCGTGCAATTTTATGTACGTTTCATAAGACTGTGACACCTTTTTGTGAATAAATACCTGTGAAACTATGTATATTGATTAAATATTGAAATATTTCAATGCTTAATTCTATTCAATTCAATTGCATTTTAATATAAAAGGCCATAAGTAAATCTAAGAAGTGGAAAAGTGGGTTTTAAAAAAGAATTTGTCCTATTTGTAGTTTCATGTCTGACCTATTGAGTTGTTTTATAGAAATCATGTAATATTTTTACCTCATATTTTCCATATGCCAAATGAGACATTAGGCTACTACCTCATGGCATTGTTGTGAGGCTTTCCTGATGAATAACAATAAAGTTGAAAAGTAAAAGAATGTTTTGACCAAAAAAATGCACAGTATATTACTGTAAACCCATACCAGTATAGGTGATGCTACAAATGCATTAAGATTGTAAAAAAGTTTGGTTTCTTTTTAACAGTATTGACATTTTTTCTGCTTTGTGAATTCTGCAAAGAGATTTGTGGTTAAAAACAAAAGCAAAACGAAAGCTAGGCTTTGCTTTCTATGTGGTGATGCTATAGTAATATTCACATCTTTTCATTGGAAAAAAAACCCTATAATTTGTCTGACTCATTTTAAACTACAGGTCAAATCCATTAGGCTGATAATAGTGCAGCACATAATCCCTGTGGAATATTAATGGAATCTTGGATGCCATGAGAACTGAAGGGTTAGCTTATAATGCCAGGACAAGATTGGACCAAAATTTTTGCCAGTAGTTAACTATCTCTTAATGAAATCTGTGTGATTCAATAAATAATAAAAATATATTAATAGGAATATCTAGCCTTTTCATTGAATAAGCTTTTTTCTTTGTTTCATTTCCATGATTGCATGAGGCATTGCTTCATGCAATCATGGAAATGAAAAATTTGTTACAAGTGTCTGAAATTCATGCTAGAATTATAACTGTTAGAGCTGGGAAGTACCTTAGAGATTATCAACCTCCTTTTTTGACTGATATGAAAGCAATGCCAAGTGAATTTTTATGAGGTTATACCACGAGTTATAGCCAGTATAGGAACAGAATCCAGGTGCTCTAGTATCCAGTCTAGTCTTTTTTCTACTATTCTCTACTACTCTTACCTGAGTTATGCATGTTTAGCAGCCAGTTTTCATTGCAGACTGAGAAATCACTGAAATTAAAATGACTATTTCCAAACCAGTTTCTCCCTGCAAAAGAACATGTGAGGTAAGCTAAACCCATGTGGTATTCAGCATAGTATGTGATTATACCAAACCAGTTTTACCATTAAGACAACAATCCACCCGAAAACTATATTCAACTATTCATAAAGAAATGCAGAATGAATTTAATGTAGGCACGTCTACGTTGCCATCCTTTTCTTACCCTCCACACTAAACTTTATGAAGCAATTTAAAGCCTCGATATGGTACAAATAAAAAATCCATATCATACTTTGATATGAGGAACAGCAAAAGATTTTGAACCTCATTAAAATACCAAATGTTTGTCTTTTTCTCTTTAAATGCCTCATTAGAGAATGTGTTTTATTAACAAAGCTACAGAAGTCCACTAAAATGCAGAAAATTTAAAAAGTTTTGATTAAGCTGCTTTTGTAAATGCTTACAATGAACATTCTTTTACAGGTTCCAATATTTTCCTTGCCTAAACGTTTTAACTATGACTATTAAAAAAGGAGGAAAATGTAATCATTTCACACAATTGAAAGAAATACACCTTTGGTCCACTGTCTTCAAGTAGTCAAATGGAATATTAACCTATCTTCCTCATTGTGTGGCTTTCTTGTTGAATAATAAAGTCTAAAAGTCAGAGAATGCAGATCATTGCAAATTTATTTCAACACAGGAAATGCCACACACTTGTTAAAATTGTAAAGAAGTTTTTATAGAGTGTTAACTTTGTTTTTCAATAGTGTTTTGTTATTTTACAGATACTGCTGTTTGGTTGAAATTATATTTAATATTTTCTCATGAGAAACATACAATATAGCTTCTGTGGTTAATATTTATTGAAAAAAAAATAGCAGCCAAATAAAATTAACTGTTAACTTGATAGCTTTAAGAATAAATATAATCCAAATTTATTTTATCCAAAGAATATTTTACTATAGCATGTCCAAGGACTCTCTCATCAATCTACTTGGAGCACTTTTAATGCTATTATTTAGCTGACACTGGAAAATACCAAAAACATTCCAGGATCAGCATTTAACCAAGAAATATTTTATTCTATGTCTTATTTCATGTTGTGTTGCTATAACTGCATACTCAAGACTGGGCAGTTTATAAAGAAAAGGATTTTCTTTAGCTCACCGTTCTGCAGGCTGGGAAGTTCACAGGGCCATGGCTTCACATCTATTTGACTTCTGGTGAGGGCTCTTGTGCTGGGTCAAAACATGGTAGATGGTCAGAGGGGAAGCTGACATGTGCCAAGAGGGCAAACAAGAGGAGGAACCTCACTTTATAACAACCTGCTCTCCCAGGAGCTAATCTATTCCCATGAGAACTAATCCCATCTCGAAGGAGCAAGAACTCACTACCAAGAGAACAGCACCAAGCCATTCCTGAGGGAGCCACGCTCATGATCCAAATACCTCCCCACGAGGCGCCATCTCCCAATACTGCCACACTGGGGATCAAATTTATATGAGTTTGGTGGGGATAAATACTATCCTAACCACAGCAGTCTATATTCTGAATTATTAAAGTTTCTTTAAGTCACAGAACTATGCAAAAGTGAATATGCTAACCAGATGTCAGATTTCCTGTGAAGTTTTATTTTCAGTCTACTGTTAGAACCTGTGTTCCCCGCTGTTATTTTAAAATGTTGGCTCGGAGATGAGATCATCCTGTTTGATATTTCTTTTCTTTCCATTCTCAAACCCAGGTCACATCCATGGAAGATGTTTATATGCTGCCTCTTCAAATATTTCCAGAAGGAGAAATTTCATAAACACATAAGATTGCCATTCCAGTGGTTTCAATAACTACCCTTTGTCTATATTCAAGTATCTTCTGCTAAACCTTGAACCTGTTTAGATCTACATGGGGATTTCTGAATTCTTACAATAATTTTTTAAACCCACTAATGTTCATTCTACAAGTGATCTTTAGGGAATGGAGATTAGAAGGTTGAATGAACAAGTTGAGATGCAGTATGAGGAAAAGGAGAACTTAAAAGTGGAGAGGAGAATTATGCTGCTATAAACATTCTAGTGCAGATGTCTTTTATAGAATGTCTTTTTTCCTTTGAGTAGGGCAAAGGCAATATATGTAACTTAAACTTTTGTACCCCCATAATATGCTGAAATAAATAAAAGTGGAGAGAAAAAAACAGAATCCGAGAATAAAAAAAGAAGAACCCATTGGAAAGGCAAATACTAAGCCACAGGTGCTTGATAAAAAAGTTTCATAGAAGAAAAAAAAAGTATTCAGAATAAAGGTGATTTTTAAAGTAAATGGGTGATTAATTTACCCCCTTTGAAAAAAATTAAATACTTATTGAGGGAAAGAGCACAACTGTAGCAACTTACAACTATTTTAAATTTTTGTCTCCTAATCCTTGTATATATATGAACACATATTTCACAAACTGACATAATAGCATGTATAAAACTATATATTTCTCCACCTGAGATCAGGAACTCTGAAGTATGGCACACTGCCCTTTCCCACTCCATGAGCCTCTAGCTCTGCACTAAATGAATCCTCCTCTACATTGCTTCTTTCCCATAATGTGTGTTATTTCTTTCTCTTGACTTCATACGGCTCTTCGTTTCTCCCCCACTGGTTTAATACCTGTTTACTGCCCTCTTTCCCAGCTGGTTCCACTGAGTCTTCCTTGCTCCCTTTTTGTACTTTCAACCTCTTTATAGAATGCTCCCTCATTATCTTACTAAAGTCGGATGTCACTATCTAAAATATCATTTTAGCCCTCTCAATTGATTGCTCTTTCTCCCTGGCTTTAATACTAAGTCAGAATTCTTCCAATTCCCAACGATAAGCTTTCAAACCCTTGTGTAGTCTTCCAACAATTTCTACTACACACTAGTATAAAACTATATTTCCTTGAAGCTCATTCCTCTAGCTATACTTACCATACATTGCCTCTCCTAATTGCTGCCAACCTCTTAATCACTTCTCAGGTATATTGAGCTACTAGGAACCTGGTTCAAAATAGACCTCTCCACCCAACTCCTGTCTTCATTGTGGTCAATTTCAACATCCAAATGGATGGTCCACACCTATCCTTAATTCTTTGAGCTTATGAATCCAAATGACTTTAACTTCTATTGCACTCTAGAAATCTTATGTTCCAATTTAGTAAATCTCTCAGAGTATCCATATATCATAGTATGTCTAACTCTTCAAAACCACACTTGCTTCCATAAAAACCTGTTAGACTTCACTGTCGATCATATAAACTGGTTTTCCACCATTATGGTCAGTTCCCTAGTCCTTAGCTTACAGCCTACCAAACCAGGACACTCCCAGTTCTGGATTAATCCCAGAACTCAGTGGTTCTATGTCTGGAAGAAGTGAGCAGAGTTAAAGAGAATTCATTCAACCATACATATTAATACCATTAGAAATTTAGACTATCTCATTTCAGTTTTACCATTGATGACCCAGATGATTCTTTTACTTTCTTTTAAAAACATTTTCATGTTGTTCCAACATGGCAACACTCACCCCAATACCAGTATTCAAGCCAAGCTCTCCCCACTCACTTTGGTTCTAACCACACAGAAAATAAAGGACAGAGATATAATCCAAGATTTCCCCAACCTCATTTTTATACTAATAAGAGTTTGTATTATTGTTTGTTTGCTTCCTTTCTGTCTCACCAAAGTGCTTTCTCTCAGAAATCAGAGTCACTATTTTTTAGTGACTCCTGTTTGGCACCAGATCTTGGGTCAACTCTCTCTCTCTCCTGATTTCTTCCAATCAGGCTGTAAACATTTTCAGCATTCTACTAAAGAAAAAAAGGAGGAGGCAAAAAGGAATGAAGGACAGACTATCTTCAGAACCTGAGCCCTTCACCACCACACTACAAACCTATAAACTGACGGACTCTGCTCTCTTCTTCACCTTTCTCAGTAGTTTATCACCTCTTTGAGTATCTTCTTTCCATTTTCTTACCTTATTTTGTTTTTTAAATTTAAATTTTTTACTCCTTTAATAGCTTTACTGAGATATAATTTACATGTCATAAAGTTCACCCATTAGAACTATAAAATCAAATGGTTTTAAAGTATAGTTAGTTATGTTTTCTCATACCTAATATTTTAAATAATTTATATCTGGCTTTTTCTGCTTAATATTATATTTGAGAAACATCCATGCTATTTCTTTTTCTTTTTTTTATTTCAGAAAAGGTAGGGGATACAAGTATTTTTTGTTATATGGATGAATTGTATCATGTTAAAGTCTAGGCTTTCAATGTACCCATAACCAGAGTAGTGTACACAATACCAGGTAGGTAGATTTTGATCCCCCACCCCCTGCCCTCTTCTTAGTTTCCAATGTCTATTACACCTTTTTATGACCATATAAATCTCTTGTTTAGCCCCACTTATAAGTGAGAACATGGTATTTGTCTTTCTATTTTTGAGATACTTCACTTAGGATAATGGTCTCCAATTCTACCCAAGTTGCTACAAATGACATTATTTCATTCCTTTTATGGCTGAGTAGTACTTCGTCATATATACATGCCACATTATCTTTATCCACTCATCAGTTGATGGGCATTTATGTTGGTTCCATATTTTACAATTGTGAATTGTGCTGTGATAAACATTCAAATGCAGGTGTCTTTTTGATAAAATGACCTCTTTTCCTTTAAGTAGATACCCAATAGTGGGATTGCTGGATCAAATGGATCTACTTTTAGCTTTCTGAGGAATCTCCATACTGTTTTCCATAGCAATTGTACTAGTTTACATTCCTACCAACAGTGCATAAGCATTCTTGTTTTGCCGTGACTGCACCAACATCTATTTTTTATTTTTATTTTTTTACTTTTTAATAATAGCCATTCTGACAGGGGTAAGGTGGTATCTCATTGTAGTTTTAATTTGCATTTCCTTGATAATTAGTGATATTGAATATTTTTACATATGTTTGTTGCCCATTTCTATATCTTGAGAAAAATCTGTTCATGTATTTTGTCCACTTTTTAATGGGGTTATTTTTTAATATGTTTTTAATATATTTTTATGTTTTTATATGTCTTGCCTTATACAAAAATTAATTCAAGATGGATTAAATACTTAAATGTGAGGCATGAAGCCACAAAAATTTTAGAAATATAGGAAAATCTCTTCTAGACATATGCCTAGGCAAAAAATTTATGACAAAGACCCCCCCGCCCCTAGACAAATATAGCAGCTGCAAAAATAAATGAATGAGAATTAAACTAAAAAGCTTCAGCACAGCAAAGGCAATAATCAACAGAATAAACAGGCAACCTATGAAATGGGAGAAAATATCCTCAATCTGAAAAAGGACTAATTTCCAGAATCTACAAAGAACTCAAACAAAACAGCAAGAATAAAACAACTCTATCAAAAATCAGACAAAAGATAGGAACAGAATTATTTTCAAATGAAGATAGAGAAATGGCCAACAAACATATGATAAAATGTTCAATATCACCAATCAGAGAAATGCAAATTAAAACCACAACAAGATAGCACTATGGAGATTCCGCAAAGAGCTAAACATAGACTTACCATTTTGATCCAGCAATCCCACTACTAAGTATCTACCCAAAGGAAAAAATGGGATTTTATCCAAAAGACACCTGCACTTGAATGTTTATCACAGCATAATTCATAATTGCAAAGATATGAAATCAATCTAATGTCCATCAATTCATGAATGGATAAAGAAAATTTGATACACACACACACACACACAGAGACAACAGTAGTCTGGAGTACTACACTCAGCCATAAAAGGAAGGAAATAATGCCATTTGAAGCAACTTGGATGGAACTGGAGACCATTATCCTAACTGAGTTATCTCAGGAATGGAAAAAACACCACATGTTCTCACTAATGAGTGAGAGCTAAATGGTGGGTACACATGGATACCAGAAGACATAAAGGACATTAGAAACTACAAAAGGGGAGAATGAGGTGGGTGAGGGATAAAGACTTACCCGTCGGGTACAATGAACACTGTCCTGGTCATGGGTAAGAAAGCCCAGAGTTCAGAATTATATAGTGCATCCATATAACAAAAACATTTGTACTCCCTTAATATTTTGACAGTTAAAAAGGAAAAACATTTTAGGAATATGGGGCAAAGATTCAATGGGGGGGAAAAAAAGGACTAGACAGAGAAAAAATACTCAGCTAAGTCAAAGAAGGCAGATGATGGAATAGCTAAAAAACAAGCACGCAGAGAGGAGATGATCATTTGGTGAAGCCCTTTAAAATAGTTGGCTCAAAATAAATTTTAGTTTTCCTAAAGTTGGATTTTCCTCTAGAGTAGACGCAAATGAATTTCTGGGGCAGACATAATGAGCACCCAGACTGTTGCCCTAAGAAAAGCAAGTCAAGGGCTATCAAAGATTTTAGGAAAACCTCTGATCTTTCAAGGCTTGCCTCTGGAAGAGATGAAGGGCAGGGCCTGACACCAGACTGGCACTGACTCAGAACGGAGAGTGCCACCTCTTGAAAGGCAAATACAAAACTTCCCAAAGTATCAGAGGGTGTTGCTTCGGTTTGGTACTCAGTATTGTTTCTCACTTAATTTTAATGAGCCAGAACCAGGAAATTCTTACTTCCTGCACCAGACTTATCAAGCGATTCTTCACCTCAATACACATTATTGGTTAAAGTTTACCCATCCCAACTTGTTAAACTAGTTTCTTTCAAATCCTTAAGTATTCTCACTTTAGTCAGCTTTCAAGTCTTGAAAGAATGCCCAGGATACTACTCATTTGACCAGAAATCACAAAGAAGCAAGGAGGTGGAGGAGTTTGTGTTCTCAGCAGCACATGATGTATCCGTAAGTTTAATTTTATTTCATGTTTGAAAGATTTGCTTCAGATTTGTGGAATCTAATGCAAATTGGATTGGGAATCTATTTTTTTTCTCTACTTTTGTTGGAGAATGTAATAACAAAGTAATGTTAATACTCTTTATTTCAGGAAACCAGGCTAATGATTTTATATTTAATATTTGAAAAGTCTCACACATTGAATATTAATTGGAAAGTTTAATGTGAGAATGAGATAATCACAGAGAGGGAGGAAAAACAAAGAGCTCCAGGTGGATTATCTAAATTTGTAGGAGTAGAATGGGACAAGGATGAAAGTATTTCTCATCCTCAGTCCAGAGTTTAGAATATATAATGCTATTTGTGATCTTTCTAAATTATTCATTTAATTGACACATAGAAAAGAGGAAATATCCAAGTTGTATAGGAAATGCTGTATTGTAACCCTCACTGTACAAAAGATAAATATAACTAAAACTCAAAAAATGAATATGAATTTTAATATCCTTTAAGAAATTCTTTACCTTTTAAAATAAAAAAAAATCAAAGAATATAAAAACAATTTGTACATAATATAAAAATAGGAAGCAAATAAACGGTGCAAATATTTTTGAATATTAATAGATTGGAAGGAAGTTTATAGAAAATAAATCTGAATATTTTTAGCACTCATTTTCCTGTCTGGTCTCTTCTACATTTTTTACATTTTTGACATTATTGAACATTAATTCATCATCTATAATTATGAGGTCAGTTAGTAAAAATTACTCAAGAGAATGAGGGAATTATGAGTGCTTTTTCTAGCAGTGTTCAGCCAGAATTGAACTTTTTTCTTCATTGGTAATAATTGGATTTTGTATATATAAAATTCGATTAAACACAAAGATTTCTAGACCACACTCCCCATAATAGATTTAATGTTTTACAATCATTCAAAGTCTTCCCTTTCCACCTACTTACTTACAGCCACAAGTTAAGGGTGAGGTTGTTGAAAGGCAAAACAAAAAACAAAAAAACTTTTCACACTTAATTGACCTTATTATAGAACTGGCATGCATTAACATTTATTTTTTAAATGGATGGTAATAAAAGGATTATAATTATTATTTTTACTTAAAGGGATCTCCAATCTCTAAGGGAAAAGTTGGTGATGCCATACCAAGAAAAATAATTCAATTAATCCATTTTGTTGCTCTTTAATAACTTTAGTAGCCATGCATTTATTCAAATATTATGTTCCAGGCACCATTGTTGGCCTTAGAGGCATAACAGTGAAAAACATACAGTTTAAATTTCTTTTAAGGCTATGTGAATTGTCAATTCTGTATTATTAGCTGGTTAAATACAAAAGAAATACACCAGAAAGGTAAATAGACAAAAGAGTGACATAAAAGGAGAGAAACAGGGAAAATAGACTAAAATAAAAATCTGGGAAAAGCAAAAGATCTGCATCTGATCAGTAGTCCAAGAGACCATTCAAGTGTCTGCATTCCTGTTACCTCCCATTTTCAAGACCTTTATTAAAGTCACTCTCCAGATCCAACATCTTTTAAAGTTCCACACTACCATTCTCTATTCAGTGCTGTATATATTTTTGCAGTGCTGAGTTTGGTTTCCCTTGGCTTTGTGGCTCAGAGGGCGAGTGTGTCAGGACGTGTGGGCGAGGTGTTGGAGAGCCACCTGCACTCTGCCCATTGATAACCAGCGCCTCAGTGTAATTAACTCTCAGAGGGTTTTCTCCATTTGGGATACACAAATACATCTTTATTAGTTTTTGCCACCTGTGAGCAATCTGAAGAAAATATACTTTTTACTTTGTTGTTCATGCCAGTACCTAGTAGAATGCTTGGTGCATACGTGTTAGTTAACTGTCTAATTGTTCTTCAGATTTATTTTGGACCAACTAATTTCCAGCCAACAACTATCAGCTCTGGTTGTTCAGATCTTCTCATTTGACTCAGATGGAATTCCTACCATCTTTAAACACCCCTTTTTCACAGAACTATTTTGTTTACTTTTCTAGGAAGCCACTCTGTATTTAAATTTTATAGTGATGTAAATAAGTGTAAATACACTTATAGTATTTAGTCCTTAATTTTTTTCTACAAATGAGTAACTATGAAATAGATTCCTCAGATTATCTCATTCCTAAAATGAGGTTCTGTGTAATTTTACATTTCTCTCTGCCTCACACAAAAATTTTAGAGTTGCTTTTCACGCAGTTACTTTCATCAGTGGATTTTAGGATATTTCCCACATATTAAAATCAAGTTTTGGTTTCATAAGAGTAAGCATAAAAGGACTTTTTCAAGCGAAAACAGATGCAGAAAACAAAGTCTGATGATTATAATTTGGAAACCAAATTTGTCATTTAAATGAGAGACTTCCTTTATCTTCAGAGATAGTGTTTTGGGCTCTACAAGCTGAACACTGTTAGTGTAGGTCTAGGCCTAGATACGGGAAAACCGTAAGATGACAGATGGCCCCAAAACTGAATAATTAATATCTCTGAAGTAGCATAATTCCAAGTTTAAAAATGCAATTAAACGTATACACACACACACACACACACGTATGTACACCTATACGAGGTCTGTCCAGAAAATATTCAGCTGTGTAATATGAACATATTCTATTAAGAATGGCTGGATACTTTCTAGACAGACCTCATATACATATATACGTTGATATTTTCTTTTTAAGTCACATGTTTGTAAATAAGACATAAAAAGACACAAACATATCTTTATTAATTTATTATGTATTTTATAGGAAAATGTCATGACAATCTTTAAACATGTTCTTTAACTTTTAAAAAACTTTTCTTGGTAAAATCAACACACGTAAGAAGTCAGTATTGCACTTATTAATGTACTGCAAGCACTATTATCTGTAATAATGAACATCCCTTCAGCTAATTATTGTACATATTCAAAATTGTTTCCTTAGGATTAATTCTTTTCTGCACTCTTTTACAAGTCTTGAAATGTCATCTCATGGTTAATGATTAATCTACATCCTCAATTTCTTTTGTCACTAACTATTCCCTATACCCCTGGATGGTTGAAATATAGTTCTTTCCTTAGGACACAGCACTTTTTATGCCCCATCATGTAAGGGTTTCTCATTTTCCCATATTCTGAGAGAAACATGAACTTCAAGTTCCACATTTTCCCTAGGTAGCATAAGTCCTTTTGTGGTCGATGTTCAACATCCTAGTCATTTATTTCCTTGCTCTTCTTATCTCTATAATCTTCTCTTCAAATACTACTCTTATATCCATATCCTGGATATTGTGATGACTTAGAATCACTCTATCTGAATCATAACTTTGAACAGCCTTAGTTCTAAGGAATCGGGTTGCTTTTATTTCACTGACTCTTTTAATCTTTAAATTCTTAGTATCCATCGGCTGCCACTCCTAGCATCCACACACATGTGATCATGCACACACAGAAACTCATTTTTGCTTCTCTTCTGATCTTTAGTATGATTTATACAAAGTTTTTAATGAGGTCTTAAACCTCACTAAAATTATCTGCCCCATATCTCTTTTGTCATTCATATTGGCTAAATTCTAGGTAAAGCGTAACTCTCCGAAAATGGCTTACTTCTTCCAAGACCACTGGGGAATGCTACAAAAAACCTCACAAATGTTCAAGAGGTGCCTCTTCACTCAAGCCCTTAATTCTGCCCACCATTTCTGCTATAACACCTTAGTCTATTTTCCATGATGACTATTCTAACTTCAGCTTCCTGGAATTTCCAGTTTGCCCTCTCATCTTTCTACCACTTCGAAGACATAATGTGATCAATGAATTAGATGAGAATTCCTTAAACTTCCTGATACCAAGCCAACAAACCTACTTGGATCTATTCATACTCTCAAGACGATGCCTACACTGTGTCCAAGTTTCCCATTCTGTTAGGTTGAACCATGCAAAAATGTCAGTATATGACCACTTTTGACCTACACGAAAGGTAATTTCATACAGGGATCCTAATAGAATCTATGATTCAAATATATGCTCTGAACTCAATCCTCCTCCCAACCTCAAACTATCTACTGATTAGTTTACACCATTGCATATACACATAAAACTGTCCCATCCACAAGAAAATAAAAACACTCCAACTCCACATACCTTGATGCCTTGTCTCTCTCTTTCCATCCACAAACTCATGAAAAAATATTGATACTCACTGTCCCATTTCCTCCCTTCTCATTTTTCTTCCAACTTATGGACATTTGATTTATGAGCCCACTACACTCTGCTCCTTTTCCTACCATGAACACCAATGATTCCCCATTGCTTAACTGTGGATAATCTAAATTTTCTCATATTTGAGTTCTCAATGGCATTTGACACTACGAGTCAATCCCTCCTTGAATACTCTTTTTTATTCATTGTTATCATACTATACTTCTCTTTATTTCTTCCTTATTATCTCTGGTTTTCAAGCTTCTGCATTCTTTCTCTGTTCCTTAAATGTGAGTTCTTTTTAGAAGTCTTTTCTGGGCCCTTTTCTCTTCCTATTCTTTCAATTGAAAAAATTCTTAATCACCTACCATATTCCACATACTAAAACACAATGAAGATCTAGCATAGTACCTGGCTTGTTTAGTGTTATGATATCAAAGACTAGCAGTACCTAGCATTAGTATAAACTCAGTAATCCTTTTAAATAGTAAAGTTGCTAGATTAAAAGGAATGAATATTTAATGTATTTTTATTTGTGTTGGCAAACTATTCTACCTTATGTCACACTTGTAATTTGCCATTTGTCTTTCATTCTATTTATGAAAATTTGATAAACAAAACGTATGATATTGAGTTTCTTTCGCTAGTCAACTTATTTAGTATTTGTCTTGATGAGCTTTGCCTGCATGTCATTTTTGTCTGTCATTCATAAATATGATGGCAAATAAGCCAAAATCATAATATTTCAATCATCCTTGTAGGAGTAAGGAATATACAATAATTATTTTATAGACTTATAAAAGAGCA